AATCCACAGCGGCACGATCTATGGCAGTTTACTGAGGAGATGAGTGGCCCGGCTGTTAGGCTGCACAGATCTAATTTTCTCAATAAAGCCCTGTAAGTCAACAACCTTAAAGGTTTCATAAATCTCAATATGGGACAGATTCATCCGTCCATCCAGTTTATACACCGTTTATTCCCAATGGCCTCGTGGAGCCTGGAGCCTGGAGCCTATCCCAGCTGACAACAGGCACGAGGGGGGGTACACCCTGAACAGGTCACCAGTCCATTGCTGGGGCACACAGAGACAAACAACCGCACACACTCACATTTACTCCAATGGGCAATCTAGTGGGTCCAATTAACTCAACATGCATGAAAATCACAATTTGAGCTCTAACGGTAGAAATAGACATTGTACTTAAAGACAATGAATACAAAATTAGATTCCGCAAATGCAGTTATTAAAAACCGCCATGGTTTGGAATTTGTAAGCAAGTTCACTTTGGGAAGCATCGATGAACTTGGTGTCTAAAAAGCACAATTTCACACTGTCAATAATTAAAATCACACACTCTGTCCTGCTCAGCGGGTGGCTCCCACGCTCTGTGTAAGCACATAAAAAACCGGACGCTGATCATCCTGATACGTCACGCAAACTCATACTGACACCAACACCAACCTCAGAGATGTTTGCCGTGCATCATTTGGTAACTCCCTCCTTGTTGAGTGGCGCAGGCCTGAACTTGAAAATGTGATGACAGATTGATTTACTTGAAGATCATTGTTCCCATGTCTAGAACTGTGACTGATCCACCTCACAAACATGATCCTCAGCTAAGCATTTTAGATTTATTGGTCAATCACATGACAATTATTGTGCGGAATTGCAATTCAGTGAACAGAGCATGATGATACCGAGAGCCTCACATGTGCTACTTTATCTGAATATCACAGGTATTTAGATATAATAATCCCCAACCCCCAAACACACACACACACACACACAGTCCTTCGATGGCTAGATGCTCCACATGAGCAGCGGTGCCTGCAAATCAGACGAAGAAGGGGGGGGGGGGGCGCCCTATGAAAACCAGCAACCACGCCCTCTGGGGGAAGGAGAGGACCCAGACCGTTTTACTAGCTCAGAAGGGCACTAAGCTCTTAAGGAGAGCAATTATACTGCAATCATTTCCGATTCTCTGGCAGTCATGGATCAAAATGGTCTGAAGATGAAGGTTACGGGACCTTTATGAAAAAGTGTGGAATGTATTCAGGAGGGCCTACGCTTGAAAATAAGTCCACAGAAATATTTGTTACCACTGTTTAAGGACATGGTTTGACGACAGAAATAGCATAGACAATGAAAAAAAGGACTTAAATGATCTAATAAGAGGCTTGGTGAGTGGCATATTCATTAATACATTTATAAAATCACATGTTAAAACTGAATCTTTGAAGAAACATAGAGATAAAATTTCCTTTCTTAAGTCGACCACATTTCTTCTTTGAAGTGAATCATAAAATGTTCACATTGATGGAGAGGTTCCCAAATAAACATGAGTACCAAATAAGAAATAATAATGCATATTTTTCATGTTGTAGGTGGATGTGATGACCAAACTCCTACGCTTAAGCAGGCCAACGGGAATCCGGCGCTGCTTTACATCAAGTCTGACACCAGCCCTCTGTTTAGTTTAAGAACAACACAGCTGTACCTTCTCATGAAAATGCCCAGGTCTTAATTTCAAGCCGCAGTGATGCTTTGTGTGGATGACTGAAACTGTTTTGGGGCAGCGTGAGCCAGGATCAACGGTACTCCTACTCCCATTGAGGTCGGACTCTGGCTGTGAGCAGCAACGGCTTCTTCTGCTGCCTGCGACCCAAATTCCATTAGCAATCTGTTAGCTGTGGTCCATTAAAAGGGAGGACCGAAGCACAAGCTCCTGGGAACAGACCAACATACAAGGAAGCACACACATGCTCACGGCACACAGCTTGTTTGATGAAAAAGAACAATTAAGGGAGAAATGAGGGAGAATTGTCAGGGGAAATAGTTGATGAAGACTTTATTGATTAGAGCAACTCCACTGATCCGGCTCTCATTGTAGCAATTACTGCTGGCTACCAGCAATCGTGGGAGCCTCATCGCGCAGGGGCCCATCTAAAGATCATGATGTCACAGAGCAGAACTGAGCAAACGTTTGTGGCCTAGGCCGATTGTGGCTTTAAACTTTCCCAGAAAGTGAGGCAAAAACACTCTTTGTTTACATGAAACACAGGCACACTGGTTTCTATCATTTGTTAAGAGAGTCATTTGGAAAGCGCAGCAGTGGATAATGAGATGACACAATGAAAATGAGCGGAGGACACAAATGTGTTAATTCCTGTCATGTGGAGTTCCATGCGAACAGGCTTAGATCTGTTATCAATGTCCAGAAATAATCTCTCTTTTTTCCTTCGTTTTCTGCTTCCTCACACAAGCACCAGTGATAAATTCAACCCCCCTAAATAACAGGGCCACATTTCTATAAACCAGAGAGCCTAGTTTTTGTTCACTCATTTGTACAGCTAGGACATCTTGGTATTTTTATTTAAATCTGTTGTCTTCACTCCGACCAAAGACAAAGTGGATGCCGACTGTGCAGTTGTTTAGACTGTGGACATTTCCATGGGTGTTTTGGAAGCCTCTCTTCAAGACATGATGACACATTCTTGATGCCTTGCCTGGATGTTATCAACAAAAAAGACCCTGATTTTTTTTGTGAGGACGAACACTTTACATGAAAAAGTGTCACATGACCGAGCACTGAAAAGCAGTTGAATGAGCTAAATTACCACTTCAGAATTAATTCCTGCAGCTCAGAGGTCAAAGGTAAATATCTGTAAGTTAAGAACAAAATATAACCAAATTGCATACTTACAGTGTGATATAACTAAGGTGATCAAAACATATTTTAACAGAAATCTGTAGACATAAAAACAATGTTCAATATATTGTCCTACATGTTAAACACTGAAGCTTAAAATCTTATTTTGTGCTCTAAAAACCTACCCTCGCTAATGCCCTTTTTTGGGGTTTTAATGGTGTGACTGTAAATTGGGGATGAATGAATTGATACCACACCTCCCAGTAACATCCTCCTTTGCAGAAACTGTGAGATAACACAACTTCACTAACAGCCGCACAGTTTCCCAACCTCCAAGGCCATTTAGCAAGGGCACACAAACAAAACAGAGATAACGGCCGATGGAAAAATATAAAGGGACAAAGACAATCTGTTTATGCACTAGATAGAGATGAATGGAGCATAATCCAATGCCTTCCATTGCAGCTACCCATCCTGCACCACGGCTTCTGCCTGCTTAACCACAATGATGATTAATCCTACACCCACTATTTATATTTCCTAATTGTAATTAGCATGAATTATCAATTATGGTTAGTGCCTAATTGCCCTTCATAAAGACAGCTCCCCAGGTTTAAACGGGTCCATTTAAATAATGTAACTAATAGCTCTTGCCTTTACGTTGCGGATACATCTTCATTGTTCCACACGTGAACCGCGATGGTTTCTGGTAATTTAATGGGGCAAACGAGAGAAGGAGTGCAGGTGGCACCGTAGGACTAATTATTGTAAATGAATTATGATGTGACCTTCTCAGAACAATGGCTAATCAATGCTCAGGTTGAGTGACAGTGTGCTCCGTACAGATGCCAGAGCCATTACTAGCTGCCTCCGCTCTAAGGAAAACACTCAGTTGAGGCTCTTTGTGAGTGTCTCCTTTGGTCTTTTTGATTGTGCACACTTTCATCTGGTCACAAACAGCAGGTTTCCTTCTCATGGTCTGTCTGCACCACGGTTTCTGTTATCTGAAGAGTTTACAACAGTTTGATGTTTGTATGATTCATCCTTGTCTCACATTCCTATTTTCTGATGGCATGTGAATAAACTGGGCATGCATCGTAAGAATTCACTAAACACAGTTGTCTCAGTTCTGCAAATTTCTGCAAGTAAAAACAAAAACACAAGGGCATTTTTTTTCTTACACTTGGGTAGGTTTGAGCTCAAAACCTTGCTGTGATGGTTAAACTAAAATTGTCTGGTTGGAGATGCAAATGAAAAGTCCAATCAAAGTGCTGCGAAATGCACAAAGAATTGCTTTGATTTTTATGAATATGTGCATGTTTAGCCTTTTCTTTTACTTAATTCACCAGGAGAAAAATAACAGCACCCTTTGGTGTCACCAATAATCTTCTCTACATGTCATGTCAACAAGCTCAAGCACATGACTCAAGAAAAAACTAATCATCGTGTTTGTTCACCCAAAACCTGTCTTTTGAAATGCATGTAACCATGTTATATTCTTTCAAGCTAGTATGTGAAATCAGTACTTTTCTCAGAGGCCCTTATGAGCCTCCCATCTGACAACAGACTGAAGTGAAGCATTAGATGGAACCAGCAGCATTTTAAAATGACATGTTTTGTTATAAACTATTTTTTTCTGACTTTATTTCAGACTGTTGGAAGGTCTCTTGAGACATGTTGAAGTCAGACTACAAATATGGATTTATTTTAGGCTGCTCTAAGAGAACAACTTGGGATGAGGTTGACCTCTGCAGGAGCTTAAATTTGAAGACTTCTCCAACCATTTAGGCATCTTCTCTTGAACAGGTCTATTGGAGAAAACAATAGATTAATGGTTAGGGTTAATATAGAGATCTCTTTTTGCTTTTGGCTCAGTTTGTTTGGGAGCTATACCCTCTTGCGCTAGCAGTTCAGAGTGCTACAGCACTCCACAAATGCGTAATCTTCCAATTGTTTTCTATTTGGATGTATTGAGACACACAGTCATGATAATGAGAATATCTCATTGGCAGTAAGGGGAAAAAGTTTGCATACTTTGTGTTTCTGAACGATTCAGGATGAGAGCTAACAATGCGAGTGTTTGAACTGACCTTTACCTCGCGGTGACAGGTGTGCAGTATGACTGACAGTGTCCCTCAGCATAAATTCCACCCACCTCGCATTGCCCTCCATCTCCTCTGCGACGCCGTTGACCCCTTTACAAATCACCCCCAACTTTACACATCTGCTGCCTGTCAGCATCTGCCAGGCGCACTCACCCGTCCCGCCTGTAATGAAAAACTCTCATTACTCGCCTCCACCCAACAGGTACACAGGCCGTTAGGACAATTACTGGGCAATGCCACTGACCTTGTTGTTAGAGAGAGTCAAACAAACACGGAGGTCCAACTGAGCGGAGGCCTCGCTGCGAACATGCAGCGCAGACAGGGGAACAGACTTAAAACCACCAGGCATTCTGCCCGTTAAAGAACGAACTGCATTCACCGGAAGTGCGGCCATCAGTGACTGTTTATGAATGAGGACATAGCAGAGATGCAGTTTGTGTGCTATGCTTTACTCCTTTTTGTTTTCCATTGGCGTATTTCTGCTTTGAAGACGTCAACATACTGCATTTCTACTTAAACTTTCTCTGTTCTGTGACTCATCCATCAAAATTTGAGCGAACAGGGCTGTAGATGTCTGATTATTGACCAAACCTCTGGTCAAATTATCAATAGAAACTCTGGGCAAAGAGTCAGGACATGAACGTTACTTTTCTATTGTTGTTTAAAACTTCCTGTTTCTGCAGAACTGTTAAATCTCTTACAAAAACCATAGGACCAACAGCAGTGGCACAGTTTTAGCGTTCAGAGTTCAACATTCCTACAGCTGAAAAGAAACATCTAACAGATGAGCTGCAGAGGTAGTGGTGGAGATCAGAATACAATGGAAAACAATGGACTCTATGGTCTGTCTGAGTAAAACTGTAACTACAGGCATCACTCCAGGCTTTGGACAAATTAATAGATGTTTACCAGACTTCGGGCAGCCCCCCTGTGAAGTGATGATTTTATTGACCATGGAGGGGGGTCTTAGATAGAAGTGTGACTCTTTGGTTCCCTATGGTGTTCAACGGCCAGCAGGCTTCTCTGAAGTCTGGCCTGACTCGCCCGAACAGACTCAGCTAAACCAACTGCTGCTCCTGCTGCCAGAAGTCTACCTGAGCCCTCTTTGTCCTCGGGGGGTTTTCCTTTGTCCAAGCGCCCCACACAAACAGATGTCCAACCACCGGGCTTTCTTGTAGGAAGTAGTAAACCTCCACTGTGCAGTGAGCTCTATTCATACGGAAAGTCTGCGAAGATGCCTCAGCAAGTGTTATACATATGCAAATGGTTACGGGCAGACACCCTGTAGTGGTGGCTTTAGCAAATGTTTGACTATGTAACTACAGACCATGCCAGTGTAGCACACTGTGACTGGGAGCAATGAAAGCGCCGTGAAGCAGAGTAATTACCTTGAACTGTGTAAGTAACACAGGAAATTGTGTCAGAGATCCCCCCCATGTTACCATTGTTTTGCAAAACTACAGTTAAAGAAATGGTTTTTCTGTCTTCCTTCTCATTCATACAAAAAGTCACAGGCCACACGTAACGGGCTACAAAAACCAGATGTTCAGTTTTGACCGAAAAAATTCCAGAAAACGGTAATTGTTTCACTAATAATGATGAAAATAAAATAACTGTAAATAGGAATCTTCCTGTGCTGTAACAGGCACGGATTCAGCCTCACAGTGTCCAAACCCATGACTCAAAGCCATCAGGTTTTATCTGTATTGGACACCTGCTGAGAATATTGATCTTATACTGGTTTCACCATTCTAACCATTTTCAGCCATTAAACCTTAAATAACCCCGTGTTACTTTATATTGTATACAAATAATCAGAAGGCGATTGAGATTAATTTTAAATCAATCAAACTTGTTGCAAAAAACAATCAGATGTATTGACTATTAATTTAAAAAAGAAATATAGACCTTGTTGAATGCTCATATATTTCTGAAGTCTTCTCATAAGACTCACTTTTTTTTTAGATTACTCAAATATTTCAGTATTACTGAGAGAAAAAACATGATTATTCAATATTCTGTTGTTAAGAAGGAACTTTAGCGAGTGGTCTCTGTAAGGAATCAAAAACATCTACACGGCATTTCACCACTGCATATATATCTTGATATAATTGCCTTACTATCACCATTTAGGTTCAAAGTGTGTGACCTCCTCTTAAAATGCTGCCCATCCTCATCAGTACCTATGAATTCCAAAAATTGAAAAACAACTTGATATTCCAATGTTTTAAAGCACCAACAAGAAAACAATCTTAATGTTAAGGGCTTCCATTAAAATATTCTTATGGCTCAAAAAACACTGAAGCCTTTACCAAAGTCTAATTTGCAGAGACAAGAGGACCTCCGATGAATCAAGTGCCATCTGTGTCCAATTTACCTTCAGGTCGTCAATTACTGAATTTAATGATATGGGTGATTATCTTCGAACGCTCGGAGACCATTAGGTGGTCGTGTGAAACACTAATAGTGTTTGTATCACGTGGCTGCTGGATAGGACGTGGGTGGTGTGGTGTGGGGAGGGGGGGGGGCAGGCGCTTTAAAGACTGTGTCCTGGTCATTTCATTCACGTTGTCACACTCACTGACATAAGAGGCGAAGTCTGCATTCCCATGGAGCATCACCTCAGTCCGGTCTGATGACGCTTGCTGACTCGAGGCGGACTGAACAGCGAAGAAGTTCCTCTCGGCGCGCGTAATTACGCACACCTTTTTTCTCCATTCTGCTCTTCGCCGGTCTGATTGTAGAGAGGATGCTTGAAATCAAGGAGTGACCATGACGTCCAGTCATAAGATCTCGTTTTCTATTGTTGACATATTGGATCCGAACAAATTCAACAGCAGAAAGGTGAGCGAACTTTCCGCCATCAAAGAGAAGTTTCAAGCGCCAAATGCGGAGGGTATAAGTTTGGAGTGGGACAGCTCAGCGGGTGAAGACTTCAGAGATGAGCGCGCAGATGCAGGTAGAGATTACATAAAATAATGCTATCTGCTTCTTGCAGCCACTTCAAGAGTTTGTGTAAAATACGGTGTGCAACGTTTCCTTATGTTGGCTTTAACTTGTTTAAAACACTTCCATTTTTCACCCAATAAGCATATGAATATCCAAATACGAAACACTTGAAAACTTGGAGGAAAATTAAACTATAAAGAATTAATAAGTGTCTATTATAATGAGCATTTTCTCACGTACAAAATCCCAAATACTAAAGCTCTTGTATTAGATTTACATTCATCTCTGAATGACCTTCCCTTAATTTCCAAAGCTGCGTTTCCTTTCAAGGAAGCCACAAAGGCTTGCTCCCAGAGCCCCAGTGTGTGATTGGCACCGGGACAGGCAGGCTTGATAATTGTTTAAATCGTCCCATTGAGGATGCCTCTGCGCGCTTTGATCGATATCCCATTACTGCTTCCTGCATATCTCCCTCCAGCACCTTGCAGGTACAAACCCCACACCCCATCCATGTCTGATCCTAAATATCGTTCGATTAAAACTTCCCTTTAAATAGATGACATTTATCGATCGGCCAGCAAATATGAAACTCCATTAGCACGTCACGGCTGAGGTGGCGGGGCTGGATTTAGACGGGATTTCTTTCCGCAACATGACATTTGAGGCAGTGCGCGGTTTATAAATTATTAAGGGATTAGTGACCAAGTCTTCCCCTTCTCTGAACGCTTCTCTCCCCTTCATCGACCTCAGGGTCCTAATCAAATACTTAACAGGAGACAACTTCTGAACCTGGTCGTGAATATTCACTCTGAGTAACAAAAAAAACAGGAAAGAAAATGTAACACAAACTATGCAACTGTCTAATCCGTCTTTGTTTTTTTTTAATTTTTTCTATTTGCAGAAGACACGGGAGATGAAGACTCTACTTCTTTCAGGCCTCCCTCAGTTGTGACAGATCCCCTTTCCCCAGCAGCTGACACGGAAGCGTGTCTCTCCAACGACCAGGGCCCCGGACACGGGCAGCGGTCCAGCGCGCAGCAGGAGTCCTCCCCGCACAAACGGCGGCGTCTGGAGCAGGCCTACGCCAAACCCCGGCGCGCCAGGACGGCCTTCACCTACGAGCAGCTGGTGGCTCTGGAGAACAAGTTCCGCGCCACACGGTACCTGTCCGTGTGCGAGAGACTCAACCTGGCGCTGTCCCTCAGCCTGACCGAAACCCAGGTGAAAATCTGGTTCCAGAACAGGAGGACCAAGTGGAAAAAACAGAACCCCGGGGCGGACAGCACGCTGCAGACCGGCTCCAACTCCCTGGTCAACGTCAGCCCAAACCCGCCGACCTGTGGCTCAAACACCGGAGGCTTCCACCACCAAAGCTTCTCCAACTTCAGCTCTGGAAATGTGATTTTCCACACCGGTGGTGTTCCGCTTCCTACCACCGGAGGGCTCCTGCATTCCTACATGCCCACTGGCTTTGTCCAGCCGGCTTATTTCAATGCACATCTATAACATGCCCTATTAGATTTTAGGCAGATGCATACTTTTATAATTTTTTGTAACATTTTCTTCAAAGCGTTTAAAGCCCAAAAGCTTTTTTCCTGTTTCACTGACTCTTCTTGTTCCATATAACTGGTTTTCCGTGAAATGAGTTTAAACAATTTGAAAGCCCACAAAAATATTTCGTTTTTCTTTTGCAGCACATCATGATAACATATTAGGTTTAATATATCTGAGTCTATAGAAAGCAATAGACTGCATAAAGATATTCACTATTTGTGCTCCATATTTCATCACAGTGTAATTACTGAGTCGCTGTGTTTTCTGTCCGTGTTTTGTCTTAAAACTGAGTCTTTTTTAGGCCTTTCTCTACCTGTGACAGGTTCTCACATCCTATGTCAGTTGCCGTTCAAACATAACCTCCATCCATCCATTTTCGTAACCGCTTATTCCCTAATGGTCAAACATAACCTGTGTAACTTTATTAAAACAGTGTAAAATGTGTGTGTTTTTTCCCTTGTTATTTGCAAAATGAGAATATTTTAAATTTGCTAATCAGATGAGTGATTTTTTTCATTGTTTGTCTTTAATTAAAGAAGGGCAATTAATTACTGTAACCCAATATTTTAAACACATTTGCAGGTGTATTTTATAAGTTATTCAAGTTTTTCCTCAGCATTGTCTCAGTCAGATGTTACTCTTTGACGTAAGGTGGATGTGTTAGAAAAAATTACTTCTCATAGAGTTACATGCCAAAGGTTTGATGAGCTTTCTGGTCTCAGGGGACAGATGTCTAATAAGTCCTACTTTCTGTATGACTAGTTACTGTATTTGTTGGTCGCTTTGAAAAATGAAATACACAAAAGGCAGACGACATAATGAAACTTCAACTAGCAAATACTTGTTTTTGGTTAAAAGGGCTCATAAGAAAATGGGAGGCCCTATCATTACAGATCTACCTCAAAACTGGACAGTTGTGATGGAAATGTGAGAAATACCAGATTTACATCCACTAAAGGCTCAGGAGAGGGAATTATTACAAGGGATTGCAAGCAATCAAGATTAGTATATACTCTTAAATATTTTGGAGGTTGTTTGTTCCCTGTATAGAATGAAATCAGTAATTGTTCAGAAAATAAATTTGAATTGAACATAAACAAGTTGTAGGAAAATAGTTACTTGAATAACTTAGCAACATTTGTGAGTTCAGATTAGTGAAACTGATTTGCATTTGTAGTGTGTGTTATCATCATTTTATGAAAATCAATAATCACAAAAAAAACAACAAGAAATATAGGTTACAGGTTTAATATGGTCATTTTAGTCATGATTTGATGATTTTGGAAAGAGTAAGTTTTACTTACACTATTCAACCACTAAGTGTCACCATTTCTGTGCTGGTGTTCCTTAAACTGCTCTTGATCCATGGGTTATGATTTCTTCATCTTTTTTATTGTTATTAAAACTAAATGTTTAGCTGGTGCTATCATCCCTGTTAGCAGTAATCTCAGCGATTGCCTGGTTTATATAAGGTCTGACTTCTTTCTATCACTTAAAGCTAAATTAATTAACTTTAGCATGTGAAGGAGACAAAAAAGCAGAAAAATTCAGTAGCATTGTGATTTAGGATAACATGCAGAAGATGTTGAAAAGAGATATTTAACAGTACATTTTGGGCCTTTTTGGTACTTCAGCTGTGGGGTTATCACGATTACACCAATCTCTATTATTAGAGAGTGTTCCACTCTCTTTACATATTTGACTGATGAGTCAACCGGCTAAGCATAAGAGCATAAGAAAACTTTCATCCAACAGATTTGGTTAGCTGGAGTGATTGATACTGTCTGTCAAAAGAAGGCAGAGAGCTTCAGACTCACTGTCAGCCACAGCCATCAGCTGTCATCTTTCTAGAGTGTATTGTGCTTTCTTCTTTGATCCACAATATATTGGAAGAGCAAGGAGCTGCTGGCTGTATCTGCAGAGGGTGAAGAAACGACTCGGGCTGCTTAGCATTTTTCTCCTGACACCAGCGTGATGGTTAGCAGCCTGGCATGAAGATGAAGTCCTCTCAGTTTACTCAAAGGTCTGGACAACACCATAACTGAGTTGTATCTCTTTCTTTCTCTCTCTGTTCTCCAGATCATACACACAAAAAGACACACAGAGTTTTTCTGCATCGTGTTTCTTTGTTCTGGCTTATGAATACAAATTTCCATCCTTTGGTTCAGTGGTATTTTTCATCTGCACAATGCTTTGCATGCACCTGAAGAAGTTTTGATAAACACAATAGGATATCTCACAATGGAACCATCCCTTTTTTTTTTTGCTGTAGGCAATTGTTGCGTGAGGACATGATGAATTATTTTGCAAGGAATTTGAGGGGCCTCATTTAGTCGAAAAGGGAAAGAGGGCGCTTGTTTAAAATTCATGATGAGGACACTGTGCAGGGACAAGGTCAGCAATAGTGCTGTAATGCATGTGTGTACACGTGTGTGTGTGTTTGTGTGCACACATGCTGTGGTATGAGAAAAAAAAATTCCATCTAGAGCCCTGCTCTCTGCACTTATCCCTTGCAGAGAGATAAGTAGGAGGCTTGAATAAATAAAAAGAGGAGAGGATTTCCTGGTATGTGGATGTGTGTGTGTGTGTGTGTGTGTGTGTGTGTGTGTGTGTGTGTGTGT